ATTTTTTGTCGAAACTGTAACTATAATGATTTTATTGCACTATTATTTTCATGTAAAAAATTTCAATACCATGTAGTAGCAATTAAGAGTTTCACGGTTACTTTTCAATGCAGGTAACAATAAAATAATAGAATAAAAATTTGTAATTTTAATTCTAGAAATGCATCTTAGGGGCACAATTTCCTCCTATTTATGCTATATTTCTAAAACCTTGAAAATGTATTACTTTTTTCATTCTCAAACCATCAATATGTATTCATTTTATTTTTCATAATTCCATATTTAAAAAAGAGGAAAGAAATTGGAACTCCAGATAACATATTGTTTTGTGCAGTGTTGGGTGAACATCAGACACTGTAAGAAGGACAACTGTCTTAGCTGTAAGACACGTGCTTGCTTTGCAGGTGTTTGCAACAAGTACAACAATTACACAATCATAATAAAGCCATAAATCATGATAAAAATATACAGAATGTTGTGATGAACTTGGGGCCTGGAAGTGAACATATCTCAAGAAAAACTTTTCCCATACAGATAGAGCAATCATCTATTATAAATGAGTTGGTTAATACAATGAAATACTTATTCTAAAGAACATTCACAGTGGCAGATTTCAACTCTACATCAATATGAGATGTGAACTTCAAGAAACAAAAAATGCAAAGTTGTATTCTATTGTATACACATTCTTTAGGAATGAATGATAAAACTATCATGCACATTGTTTTAGCCAAACATGTCTGACAGGAATTTTATTATTCCATCTTGTGTCTTTTTACTGAGCTACGAGAAAATAAATTTTGCATATTTCAATAAGAATCCCATATATCATATACCAACATCCATTTGTGAAAATACGTGATATTTTCAGCTTTGAAATTAAAGGTGTAACATAGTATCAGTTTGTCTAGGATGGCATTATGGTCAATTTAAATTATATAATTGTTGGCTTTCATGCATTAAAAAATATGAAACCAAGAAATGCATTATTTATGAGTATATTGCAGAGGTGATTTACGTATGAATTTATATTATCCAATACAAAATTTAAAACGATTTATCAATGACAGTATATAAAAATGGATTTATGAGAAAAGATGACAAGAGAATTCACAAAAATTATACACCTACTGTACATTTCTGGGCTCATTCTTCTATGAGTATATCGGCAGGATAAGACAGAAAATTGGAACTTTCAAAACAGATTTATTACATAATTTCATGGTTAAAGAGAAGAAAGCATATGATTTTCCTAAATATACTTCATATTTCTTTCACTCTGCAACAGGCAACTTGTCTCATCTAAATCGAATACACTTGAAATATTGAGTTTCATATAATACGGTTCTTCCTGGGATCACACCAGTTGGGGGGTTATGCAGTACATGCTCCAAGTGTGTTAAAATTTATGTAAGTACTGAAATTAAGTGAAATTTATGCCTGCCAGTTTCATGATGAAATGACTTATGTAATATAATTTGAATACTTGGTGGCTGCTGCTCTGAGACCATAGCTACACAATTCTTCACATAACATTTCTCAAGAAACATGAAACTCAACGAAATTCTGATGGGAGACTTACTGTGAAGATGAAATTAAATAAAGACTGGCTTTTTTTTCTCAGAACCTGGAACTGTTTTCACACACGAGAATGCCTCATTATGCAAAACTGAACAAAAATATTTTTCTACCTTGAATTTTCTCTTATCACATTGTCATGTAAAACATGGCTAAATAAACGAATGTAAATGTGATATTACTGAACGTTGTTATGATTGTATTAGAGAGGAGGTTCTCACATAAATATTTACCTATCCCCTTTTCACCAATCTGTTTTAATATGGATGTTCAGAACTATAAAATATTTCAGTCTTTGAACCTCTGAAATATGTACTTCAATATATGCTGAGTATATGTTGGGTAATTAAAAGTGCTGGATACAAAAAGTGAGACAAAATTATAAAACACCATAAATGTATTTTATTCTGACATTCATATGTTACACATTAAAAACAGCTCGTGGACATGCATGAGAATGAGTCACTATTCTAGGCACAAAATTGCATGTCTTCAGAACACAGTTTCCTTATAAATAAGAACCTTCTTGTAAAGGTTTGAGATAAGTGATATACTTAAGAGGAAACTGTAACTAAT